TTTTTTTTTTTTTTTTTTTTTTTTTTTTTTTTTTTTTTTTTTTTTTTTTTTTTTTTTTTGGTTTTTTTTATTTATTTAAGATAGAATATTTTCTTTTTTGCAAACCAAAAACTTGAATGGTAAAAATTACCTTGACAGTTTCGCTGTTCTTTACACGACCAGCTTCTTTAGGAGAGACACTATCACGGAAAATTCTTTTATGGAGAAGATGCTCGTAAAGAACACAGCGAAACTGTCAAGGTAGTTTTTACCATTCAAGTTTCATATATTTTTGCTTTAGAAAAAAAGAAAATATTCTACCTTATCATTCAATTCAATTCAAAGTAATCTTTATTGCAATTTGTAAGCAAATTGATGTTTAACAATTAAAATCGAAGGAAGATAAACATGAAGAATATCGCATAAAAAATATAAAAATCGAACGGTTACAATACTTTAAAAAATTTTTATAATCAGTAAATTTTATATACATCAATTGGGTAAGAATTGGTAAAAAGTGATAAAATATGGGTTCAATATTGACATTATACTACAAACAAGATGACTTTTGTTTCGTTTTTTTTTTTTTTTTTTTTTTTTTTGAATAAGTACAGAGGTCACCATTGCTATTCCTGGACCCTGTTTCTTTCCATGTGAAAAACAAAGGAAAATGTTATGACGTAACCTCACCGTTATTCGTCTTAATGCTAGCTCGTAATCATGCAATGTGCAGTCGAATTTTCCAACAATTTAGCTAATTCAAATTTCAAGAGGCAGAAAGTGAAAAAAACTGTAAAATGCTCACAAAAAGATGTCGAAAAACGTATTTTTGTTCTTACATAATTAATCATTGTTTGTACCGGATGTGCTCCCATTAGTAAAGCATCATTTAAATAAATTTGAGGGACAGTGCCCGGTGGATGGGCCTACTGGGCACAACAATCGAGGACAGCAGCTGCTCAAGGGTGTATCAGGGATTTTTTCTGGGTGGGTCATGATCATAATTGTTTGGACCTCTTCATTGGGAGAGAGTAAAATCTATTACAGCGCCACCAGCTTGAAGCGGATGACAGGCTCAATTTCAGAATTGCTGGATTTGAGATAGATTACGTCACACAATTGGCAAGGTCTTTGGACTCATTGCTGGTACCTCATCAGTGCTTTTTCATTCATGTAATTGTGAAAAGGCCCTAGAAAAAAATGACTTTGGAAAAAATGTAGACTTTAGAGAATTGGGGGGGGGGAGGGTCGTACGACCTTCCCGACCCCCTCCCCCCTCCCGCATACACCCATGCTGCTAAAGCCGTCGGGGAGTCGGGTAAAATCTGTCGGGACAGCTGACATGAGAGTACTATTTTCATCAATTTAGAGACGGAGTAACCTAAAATATTTCCAGTGGCAGATTCTAGAAGGGGTTGGATTGGATTTATTCGGTACAAACATCAAGGATAACACGAAAGTTTGAAGAAGACTTTTTTCCAGTGGGGCAGAGTCCTTCTGGTGGTGATTGAGCAATACACCGGGAGGCAATCCCCTCTTTTCCAACGGCGAACGTCTCATCCGAAGGACGGTGCGCTATCGTAGCTTGCATTCCAGCCTTCAGCTGAAACACAAGAAGAGCAGCGATTGGAATTGAACCGGGGACCAAGAGATCTCCACTGTTCAGCGCACACACAGTGACACCACCAATTTAGCCGACTGAGCTAAGCTGCTCCCCTTACATTTAAAAAAAATGAAAAAAAATGAAAGTTATATTCAACCACCCTTCTCGTAGTAAGTTCCCACTACGAGTTAAATTTGTACGGCCTGTCACATACCATTTCAGTTTCATTTGTGGACTTTTGTGGCGCAAAGCCATGAACAAATTAGTGGCGGATTTAGTGGGTGGGGCGTAAGGGGCGTACCCCCCCCCCTACTTTTTTGCCAACAAAAACGAAAAAGAAAAAATTACACCTACAGTGTTTAAGTCTTCTTTTCCTACCAAAACACCCTAGGAGAATGCTATTCATAAATCCACTTGGTGAGAAATAGAACACTTGTAATTTACTCAATGTTAATATACAGTAGCGGAATTTTGTTGTTTGACGACTTTTTTTTAACGGATTTTGGATATTAGTTTTCCTTTTTGTTGATTTTGTGATTTTTATGCTCAATGTTGCTGAAAAACATCATCATGTTTTCTAGAAGTGAAATTTCTCTTTTGAAATGTTGTACATTTATAAGCCTTGCATGTTGTCAAAGATTATGTTTGAGATGTTCGTGAAAGAGGCACTAAAACCCACAGCTGTGAGTAGATGAATTATTATTAATTTAATGACACATTTCATAGTCGTATATTGCAGGTATCCTGTATATTGAAATTTCTTTTAAAAGACATAGGGCCTACACCTATTTTTTTTTTTATTTGTTACTGAAAACTACCATGCTAGATAGTCAAAATCGACTCAATACAACCTCATAATCCTCAAATGTGCTGGGCTTGGATTGGACTGGATTGGATTTATTCGGTGTAAGCACCAAGGATAGCCCACGAAAGTCTAGAAGAAGACTTATTTCCAGTGGGGTCCTTCAGACACCGGGAGACAATCCCCTACTCTTTTCAGAAGAGTGTACTGTGTTCTTTAACGTGCACATGGGCCATAAATGCACACGGGACCAACGGCTTAAACGTCTCATCCGAAAGACGGTGCGCTATGTAACTTGTATTTCAGTCCTCAAGCTGAAACACAAGGAGAGGCAGCGATGGGAATTGAACCGGGGACCTAGAGATCTCCACGGTTCAGCGTACACACAGTGGCTACCACCAGATTAGCCGACTGAGCTAAGCTGCTCTCTCTCTGCTTCAAGGGGGCTTCACCAGGGGCTCTGCTCCTGGACCCCTGGGCCCTTGGCGGCCCCCTGGCCCCCAGCCTAAGGCCTGTCTCTTATACACATCTAGATGTGTATATTCCACCCCCCCCCCCCCCACTTTTCTGGCATGATGGATCCGCCCCTGCAGATTAATACATTAGACTCGCCCTTCTCTCTTTAAACGATTGACAAGACAAAGAATGATCTCTTCTAATAAGTCCAATAATCAAAGTTACCGTTACAAATGAATTGTAAACTACAATGGGGTTATAAACTACAATGGTATTAATCTCCATGGTTACACCTTAACCTTGGAGATTAATACCATTGTATTAATCTCCATGGTTACACCTCAACCTTGCAAAAATAAATATTGTCTTTTAGAGGTTGTTCAAATATAGTTTAGAGCTCACACTCGAAACAACATTTTTGAGTATCGCATTCATAAGACGTGTTACCCGGTTCCAAAATACAAAAATGAAAGCGCAAATCGGGACTTTGATTGTAATTCTCGCAATTTCAGGTAAGCTAAACATGACTAAAATATTATGTTTTCAAGCGTTTAACATTGGCGGTATAGCCAACCCATACGATTTTTATTTTAAAGATACTGTCTCTTAAAATCTGGAAAATTTAGAAATTTCACTTAAACAAATGAGCAGATCTTTCAAAGGGTCAGATAAGTTAGTTGCCTCGGCCACACCCTTTTTGGACAGTAAAAAAAAAGTGGGGGGGGGAGGGGGAAGAAAAAAATGATAGCCAAAAACGCCTCAGAAGTTATTTTTGGGCGTCTAGAAAACAAAAGTTTCCAGGGGACATGCCTCCTGATCCCATAGTGTAGTGTTATCTCGATCGGCCCCACTTTCGGCTCCCCCATTCGCCACCCCACCCCATGCGCATGCATACATCCTACGTAACAAAGTATGTAATTTCCCCCCCCCCCTCTCTCTTTTGTAGGTTTATCCCACTTTTAATTGTCAATTCTATACATTCTTCAATAAACAGAGCATGCATCACCAATAAACACGGCTAATTTGACATAATATGAAAATACAATTGTGACATAAAAACGTGTTTTTTTTTTCCAAATATATACAAATGTAAAGATTGTAACTTCTAAAACCATTTTCTCATATTTCTGTGTTATAAAAAGTGCACTGAAAGAGGGATATTGTTCCACAATAAAATATACATGTATAACAATTGAAAACAAATATCCGACATGTTTCCCGTCTATATTAATGTTTTTAAAGGATAGCTTCTATTCCAAACCTGTTTATACCATCCCCCCCCCCCCACTTTTCTGGCATGATGGATCCGCCCCTGCAGATTAATACATTAGACTCGCCCTTCTCTCTTTAAACGATTAACAAGACAAAGAATGATCTCTTCTAATAAGTCCAATAATCAAAGTTACCGTTACAAATGAATTGTTAACTACAATGGGGTTATAAACTACAATGGTATTAATCTCCATGGTTACACCTCAACCTTGCAAAAATAAATATTGTCTTTTAGAGGCTGTTCAAATATAGTTTAGAGCTCACACTCGAAACAACATTTTTGAGTATCGCATTCATAAGACGTGTTACCCGGTTCCAAAATACAAAAATGAAAGCGCAAATCAGGACTTTGATTGTAATTCTCGCAATTTCAGGTAAGCTAAACATGACTAAAATATTATGTTTTCAAGCGTTTAACATTGGCGGTATAGCCAACCCATACGATTTTTATTTTAAAGATACTGTCTCTTAAAATCTGGAAAATTTAGAAATTTCACTTAAACAAATGAGCAGATCTTTCAAAGGGTCAGATAAGTTAGTTGCCTCGGCCACACCCTTTTTGGACAGTAAAAAAAAAGTGGGGGGGGGAGGGGGAAGAAAAAAATGATAGCCAAAAACGCCTCAGAAGTTATTTTTGGGCGTCTAGAAAACAAAAGTTTCCAGGGGACATGCCTCCTGATCCCATAGTGTAGTGTTATCTCGATCGGCCCCACTTTCGGCTCCCCCATTCGCCACCCCACCCCATGCGCATGCATACATCCTACGTAACAAAGTATGTAATTTCCCCCCCCCCCTCTCTCTTTTGTAGGTTTATCCCACTTTTAATTGTCAATTCTATACATTCTTCAATAAACAGAGCATGCATCACCAATAAACACGGCTAATTTGACATAATATGAAAATACAATTGTGACATAAAAACGTGTTTTTTTTTTCCAAATATATACAAATGTAAAGATTGTAACTTCTAAAACCATTTTCTCATATTTCTGTGTTATAAAAAGTGCACTGAAAGAGGGATATTGTTCCACAATAAAATATACATGTATAACAATTGAAAACAAATAACCGACATGTTTCCCGTCTATATTAATGTTTTTAAAGGATAGCTTCTATTCCAAACCTGTTAATACTTATACCAGGGAACAGTGAATTTAGACCCGAGCTTTGTTTCAGCAGGGAACAGTGAAATTACACTGTTCCCTGGTTTTAGTTCAACGAAATAAGAGATCTTTATCTTCAACCACGTTACTGTTCATTTGTCTGTCATGTGTAAAGCCTATTTTTAGTGAGAACTAAATTGTGTAATAGATTAAGGTTCAGTTGTTGAGTTTAGACTATTACACAATTTAGTTCTCACTAAATTGTGTGTTTAAGCTGGTTTAAGTTTGTTTTCCTCTAGGCCCTATGTTTTTAATATCATTCTTTACTTAATTATGTCCTTACAAGCATCATTCAGGTACGTTACCTTTAAGAACTCTCTTGTAACCACAACAAAAATTATTATCGCCTTAGGCTTTCAAGCGTAATACAAGTTAGTCGTCCGAATCATTAAAACATAAATAAATATTTACGGCAGCTACCAATTCAATAATGAATATTTCCATGACAACAAAAACATTAGCAGCAGTACAGGAAGTTATTGTTTAATTTTAAAGCCGTTTAACAAATAGTCATAGCGCCCTCAAATTCGTACATTTTAATATTTTTATCTTATATTTTATAGAATATATAAATCGCTTTTTACCTGTTTATTTTTACTATTTTTTAAAACTTTTAATGTTTTTGAATTGCTATTGTCGATAAAAATGTTTTTTACTTTCGAAAACCATGTTTTACAAGCTTCTAAGAGTACTTGAGCTTTTCATTTCATTTTCTTCTAATCTTAACCTTGTAACTCTTGTTAGTGGCGGATCCAGGAACTCAAAATAGAGAGGGCCCGGGGAGGTACTTTTACAGATGGAGGATCTATACCACCTCAGCTCTACCATGGTTGGGGCTGAGGTAAAAAAACTTGTGTTTATGGCACTTCTAGATGGCCGGAAATTGCACTCTTGGACTTTAAATTTAAATATAATTTTCATAATACCTCCATTTAAAAAAAAATTGAACAATTTAGGGGGCCGACTGGGCCCCCTTTGAATCAGCCACTGCTTGTATACTTTTAGTTCAATGAATACATTCTTTTGTTCAATTGTTAATTTTGTTATACAAGTTACTTGAGAAGCATTCCTTGTTATGCGTGTACAACAGCACTATCAAATTTTATTCCATTCACCTATTTATATTTATTATGTTCGTTTTAAATTAATGCACTCTTTATATCCTTTTCTTAGCTTCGGGAGCTTTCCTATGCTACGATTGCTCGTACCCGACTACTGATAACTGCAAAAATTCTGAAATAGAATCAAGTAGTGGGCTAACCACCAATTGCTCTACGTATTGCAAGGTATATAGGTTTGGTACTACAATTTTTAGTATAATTAATTTTGTGAAATAACAGAAATGGTTTAATAATAAAACAGAGAAAGACGATAGCAATAATTATGATAATAATAGTATGATTTTCAACAGATAAAACATCACTGGGATGATAATAGTATATGATTTTTATATTATAAATATAACAGGAAAAACCTACCACCAGTTGGGATGATAATAGTGTATGATTGTCATATTATAATGATAACAGGTATAAACTACCTGTTGTGTGTGTGTGTGTGTGTGTGTGTGTGTGTGTGTGTGTGTGTGTGTGTGTGTGTGTGTGTGTGTGTGTGTGTGTGTGTGTGTGTGTGTGTGTGTGTGTGTGTGTGTGTGTGTGTGTGTGTGTGTGTGTGTGTGTGTGTGTGTGTGTGTGTGTATATGTAGTAAGTTCCTAAATTATTATACTGTCTCTTTCCAATTAAAGAATAATTTTGGGACCGAAGACTTCATGGACTTTCGCTGCACTGGTCTTTTATTTGAAAAATTATTATTAGAAAAATAAAAGGTAGCTGCTGGCTTGGGGCCGCAGAAAGGTGTTTTTTAAATGGAGTGGTTTTTTAATTACAGAGAGACATGTGCATGGATTGATTGATTATGTCACCCTACCCGGGTGACTACCGTATTAATCTACAGTTGTTTTTATTTTTTTTAACAGAAAGAGGAAGGATACCTTCTTGGTACTCTTGTCTCTCTTACGCGAAGTTGTTCGAGTACGTGCACTGAGTCAGACGCGTGCGAAGACAATGCCAATACCGGCACGTGCACATATTGCTGTAAATCCGATGAATGCAACGCATCAAGTCACGTCACCGGGACCATTTTTGTCACAGTTATCAGCTGGTGCGCAGCCTTCGTGTTCCAGATAAAATAAGCCATAGGCCTATGCCTCCTGTGTCTGAAGTTGAACATGCAAATCGATTTTCTCTGATGTGTGTGTGTATGTAGTTTAGTACAACATAAACAATTTTACATTTGCAGCCCGGGATGGTGTGTCCGGTGGTGAATAGTTTTAATTTCTTATATTATTTATTATCATTAAGTTTTTTACTCGTAGCCGATACTTGAAATGCTATTTATTAAAAAAATAGTTTTTGTTTACAAAGAATGCTGAATACTGCCGTGTCGATTTTGTAATCGTAGATTAGTAAATATAGATATAATAGTCTGACGTCATCATTTACATTAAAGGGGGTGTCAATCAAACTAAACAACTGACCATTCAGAATTAAACATAACAACCAGTAAAATGTGCAGGTGCCGCAAGACCCAAGTAGTGTTTACTTATGTTTACAATGCCATTTTGTGGGACCTTAGCAACAAGATCCAAGGGGCGGGGCTTATCAGAAAGGTCTATTACTGTATCCATATTTGGAATTCTGTGGTTGGCTTTGATGCAACAGTGTCATGTAATTCTTCTAACTGTGAATGTTATAATGAAGGCACGACAATTAACCGCACATAATGCCAGAAAGAAAGCAAATGCTTTTATGTGTGTTTAGCCAAGAAAACACGACAACAACACGAGTGATGACGTATAATCAAGCTCATGTCTATGATACAATACTTTCGATTTTACATTGTATAGTGTAGTAATACATTAGGGCAAATTTAATTGTAGTTGCATTTATATAACATAACCTGCACACTAACGATATTTTATGTCGGATCATTAATGAATAATAACTAATAAATAAATTGTAATTATTAAACTCAGATTTATAAATAGGCCTAATCGCCAACTGTCACTTACTTCTTTGAATGCAGTAAATTATGTTTTTCTTTTTCCCTCTTTTCGTTTTGATTATAATTTGATTAATATATAAATATAAAAACATGTTTGTGTTATGTTAGTGTACATACGCATGTATGTAATGTATGTGAATTTATTATATAGGCCTCTATATACATATACATATATTATATATGTTTTAGTTTTTATTATTATTATTTTATTATTATTATTATTATTATTATTATTATTATTGTCTACTAATACAAACACTACTATTATTGCTATATATTAGTATTTTATCAAATGTGGGACAACGATCGTCCTAATTTTTTACTAGGACATATCCAAAAAAAATCAGGCGCTGTAGTTAGTTTTCTCTCTGTACTAAATTGGGTTTGGTTTTGGTGTGTTGAATGCGGAGAATTAATCGGGGGTGAGGGAGGACGATTTAAATGGATAAATAAATAATACGGTAGTATATAAAGATTCAAATTTTCTTATAGGCCTGATATGGCTTTTTTCTTACACTGTATTCCGTCACCTTACGTCCCTCTCCATGGCTCGATATATTTGTTTAATTGAATGTATTTTCTAAGATTTTTAAAACGGATCTAAGGTTTGTGCAATGATATGCTGACTAATTTCCAATATGGACGCCTGTTGGAAACGCGTCATGTCTGCAACGGAAACGACTTGAAGTAAAATAAAACGCACTCTCACCTGTCAAGGATGTTCACTGATACACAGGTTACAAGTGAAACGCGATCACGTCAAATAGCTACAATAGCAAGAACCGCTGTGATAACAACGATAACACCATAACAACCAGAATAACAGCAATCATATTAATACTGAAATTGATGACAAAAATATCAATAATAACTATAATAATAGAAAATTGTTTTTAGCGTTCAATAACAATAATCATTATTAATGATGTCACAAACACTTGCAACAAAAATAACAACATCGGATATGAAATCCCAAAGATACTTTACTGGCCCAGTTGGCTAGATATATGCGTCCTGCATAGACAGCAGAAGGTTCCGGTTCGAATCTCGGTTGGGACTGTAACACCCACTAATGTAACAATCAACCACTAACGTAACATTAACCACTGCTGTAACAAAAATCAACCACTGTATCTGTATGTTGTATCATATTATATAACTTTTATATATTCATGAAAACAAATACAGTATTATTTTATTTACACTCGTTCAATCAAAAGATTATTTTACACAAGTTCGTAACAAAACTAATAGGTTTATTGAAATATAAGGGTAAAAATGTCAACTTTGAGTTGGCACTTCATTCGAAACAAACCAGAGTCTTTCAACCTGTAATGAAATGTGGAATATTGTGTTAATTAATCATCATTGACCTCATTATATTTATCGTCAGTATCGCCATGATGGTTATCATAATCATTACCATCCGACATCCTCCTCATCATTTTCGTCGTGTTTTTGCCACCGTCATCCCCATCGTCATCCCTTTCACTGTAAAAATTGCAACATTACCATACTATTATTATTAATATTAATATTATTCATAATATTATTATAATTATAATCATAGAAATAACCATATTGTAATAATTTTTTAATTTAATTGATAATAAAAATAATGTTATCAATAATAGGCCTAATTGCATTTATTATTATTATTATTATTATTATTATTATTATTATTATTGCTTTTAAATATTAGGCCTATATTTATATAGGTAAATAATATTTACATCGCACGTCCTTTTACTATACACGTAGCTAAGCTCATGAGAATTCAGCTTATATTTAATTTTTTATTTTAACTAAGAAAGCAGATGATATAATGTTCTTCTTAGAAGCATGAGTATGTTAACAAGTTATTGCTTATCTTCATAAGTGCCTTAAATCCTCAGAATTAGGTCTTTGAGCTTCGCCTCTCCACTTCCTCAATCCTACATAATTATCGAATCCAACCGAGAATTCGGAAATTCATAACACAAATTTTTTATTTTTAGGTTTTCAGCATCGAAGCTAAAAGTCTGGAAAATGTCAAATCACCTGATATAAATGCCCCAGAAATCGATAGAAAATCTAACACCAGGGGAATGCCCTACTAGTTCTCTGGTTGGTAATAATGATAACAATCGAATTTTTCTGGAAATGGTTAATTTATTGTCTTTAAAATACTCAAAACATTCAGTGATTCATTAAGTGGCGCTATTCACTAATTGACTTATGTTTGTGTTAAGGTAATAGAGTTGATCAATCAATATTAATCAATCAATATTCAATCAATCATCAATCAATCATAAGTTGAGCGGCAACTTTAATTATTTAAAATACAATGTTGATGAACTAGTAAGTTATTAGATTTCATTTTGGAAAAATGGAAAAAAATGTTGAAATATTTTTTCTTGCTAATTTAAAAGACGCATAATTAATACCGTTCTTATATAGGCCTATTTGACACTAGGCAGTGGCGCTTTTAAGGGTGCCCAGCCGCATTCCGACCCCACCCCCACAATTTTTTTAAATAAAAAAAAAATAGAGATAAAAAGAAAGAGATATTTAAGATTTGTGACTGAGTGTTAATAACGTATTTGATCAATTTATACTGAATGATTAATTTAATTGCTTACCGTAATTTATATTTAAAGGGTTTTCATTGATTTTACCATTTGAGAGTTATATCTTGAATGAGCTGGCAGGAGTGGCGCAAGGATTTGCCCAAAGGGGTAGTCCGAGGTTCCCGACGGAAGGGAGAGGGGTGGCGATGCCCCGACGAGTTGGCAGATTTCCCCGACGAGAGCAAAGTTGGCGTGGTCGAACGTCACTTCAAATGCCTTTAAAGTGGTTCAGGGGGCCCCGAAAATTCTGAAAATGTTGGGGTTTCAAAGGCTTATTTAATCGATTTTAGAGTCTACTAATATGTAGAAAATACATTATTTTTTCTCCCCGACAAATTGTGGTTTTTCTCCCAGATGGAGGAAGGGGTCTCTCCTCTGGTCTGCTGGCTCACCCCATATGAGCTAGTAATCAGAAAGATATTTTCTGTGAACTGTCAACTGAGACAAAACGAAATTTTTCGTTCATGTTTTAATGTAATGTTTAGGGTCATTTACAGTACTACTATATGATAGTTCTAATAGGTGCATGCGTGTACACAGGTAGTTTAAGTCACAATTATCGACTGCGTCTTTCGTTAATGTTAATCATATTGAAGATTGTTTTGCATTGCATCATCATCATCATCATCATCATTCTTATTATTCTTATTATTATTATTATTATTAGTAGTAGTAGTAGTAGTAGTAGTAGTAATAGTGGTAGTAGTGGTAGTAGTAGTAGTAGTAGCAGTAGTAGTAATGCCATATATTGAAATGGGGGAGTTGATGGTGGGGGGGAGGGCACGAAGTTGAATTGGGGAGGGGATCGATGAACAGTTGATGGGTGCTAATTCCCAAAATAAGGTGATTTTAGGTGATTTTTAACTACTTGACCGTGATTATGGGGGGGGGGCGAAAGGGGGTGCGAGTATTTTTTGGAGGGGAGTGCCCCCCCCCCCTATCGCACCCCTTGATACGCCACTGGGTAATACACAACTTCAGATTATGTGTTGAACTTTCATTTACGTAGGCCTACTTGCAAATGACATGTGTAATGCAATTTTAGCGGATATTGGCCCTCAATGGCATTTGCAGCAATAAATACATTAAAGTGAATTTTAAAAAGTACACGTCCCGGATCTAGTGACTTCCATGTGGGAAAATAAATTATCCCTGCTTTCACATTTTTTTCCCCGAATAAATAAGTTACATTGTAGGCCTATTGTAAACCCATAATAAAAGCTTTACATACTTGAGTACTGGTATCCCCGCCCCCACATTTTCACAAATGCTTATGCAATTATGTACTACTGTATTAATTATAATTTATTGTTGAAATACACGCTTACTTGATTAATAAAAAAAAAATTGACTACGTCCTTCTCCTAGATTACTGAATTGTAATTTCGAAATTTTGTCAATAAAATATTTTTGTTTATTCGTAAAGGTGTGTCTCCAAAGTTTATTTTTGGATTCTATGTATACTCTTTGTCTGTGTTGTTTATTCATTTTCACCTACAGTACCATCTCTTCTCTCTAGCTTTATCTCACCTATTGTTTTGACTGTTAGTAGTGGGCCAGCTAAATGCAAAACAGCAATGGTACCTGTCTCTTATACACATCTAGATGTGTATAAGAGACAGGTACTACTGTATTAATTATAATTTATTGTTGAAATACACGCTTACTTGATTAATAAAAAAAAATTGACTACGTGGTTTTTTTTTTTTTTTTTGTTTTTTTTTTATTCATCTTCAAAAGACATGACAAACAAAGATTTCAAAGCAAAAAAAGTACCGTACATTACAATATTAAAGTGTTGTTTATAAGCAGAAATGGGAAAAAAAACTAGAATAAAATTAAGCCTAAATTTAATCTTTCAAATTATTTTAAAGGTAGTTTTGTAAGGTTCACATTAAAAAATTAAAGATATGCCTTAATTACATTTAAATCGGTTTATTACATTGTTGCAGGACAATCTCAGGTCCCCAAGGAGGAGGGAAAAACGTATAACAATTTCGATGTCACACGTAGGCCTACGCGATATTAACAACAGAATTGGACAAAGTTTATTTCAGGTCACTTTTTCAAGGATACTGATCCGTAGGAAGAGACGTCATTTTGCCGGGAGTATTAATTTTGCATTTTACAGGCTAAGCATAATTCAACCAATCACAATGCGCGATGTACAGCTTGGTAATGTTGAATACTGAAATTTATTTGTATTATTTCATTCTGTTTGTTGACTTTGTTTTGGGAACTTAACGGCGCTGTGCCTACAACTAGTATATTGTCATCGATTATGGAACGATTATGGATATCTCTTTGTTTTCTTGTTATAGCAGCTATTGCTGTCAACAGGTGAGTACGGATAGCTGGTGACCCGAGTACCTTAGATAGAAAATCAATGAAAGCATGTTAATGATTGCCGCTTCTCTTTTTTGAAACATTTAACGTGCGCCAGGTTATGTCAGTAAAAACTGGTCAAATATTACGATTATAATATTTTCTTTTATTATTAGAACCCACTTAAACCTTTATATTACTTTTAATATACCTTAGTCGTCAAAAAGTGTTATGAGATCAACATTATGGCTTATATAGATCAATTGCAAAACATTCTAGGCCTATGAATCACATTCACAACCTCATGTTTGTCATTACGCGTTCGCTGATTCTGTTGCTTTCGCTACCGTCCATGATAATTGGAAACTAAGTAACCTATGCCTACAGAAATGAAAGTTCCCTTAGATTAGTAATTAATAAAGCTAATAGTACAGTCATCGGTAACACTCTATATAACACTTTCCGTTGGATTGTGAAAATAATGCAATTAAAGTCTTTGTAATAAAAGATGAATCATATAAGTCCAGTCCAGTATAAAAACATTTGCGTTGGTAGGCTTGTCTGACTTAATGATACAACCAGGGAGTGATACCACTCAATTATCGTGTACTTTATCAATGAATCAAATAAATCTTTAAAAAAAAATGAATTGTATGTTCATTTAAATCTCGCATACCCGAATGTCAAAAACATTTTACCTTTTCTGTTACTGTCTTCTATAGAAGGTAATAATAATAATAAAATAATATTATTAATAGGCCTACAATAATAATAATAATGATAATAATAATAATAATAATAGTAGTAGTAATAATAATAATAATAATAATAATAATAATAATAATAATAATAATAATAATAATAATAATAATAATAATAATAATAATAATAATAATAATACTTAGTAGCTCACATTGATGTTAAACATTTGTAAGAGAACCAAAAATAACCTATGTCTCCATCGGGATTCGAATCGAAGACCTTCGAAACCCGTTTGGATACTCTACTGACTGAGCTATATTGTACTACTTCAGTTCTTAGCCAATTGGCATATAAAAATATAATAACTGAGAACGTTTCTATTAAATTACAGCACTTTCTGGCTCAAAATTAGGAACCTTCTCCTAGATTACTGAATTGTAATTTCGAAATTTTGTCAATAAAATATTTTTGTTTATTCGTAAAGGTGTGTCTCCAAAGTTTATTTTTGGATTCTATGTATACTCTTTGTCTGTGTTGTTTATTCATTTTCACCTACAGTACCATCTCTTCTCTCTAGCTTTATCTCACCTATTGTTTTGACTGTTAGTAGTGGGCCAGCTAAATGCAAAACAGCAATGGTACTATCTCAATAGAGTGCTCAACAAAACAAATGTTAAGGAGCTATAATAAGCTAAATCAATCTGCATACAATGTTGTTTCGTACTTTAAGGACTCATCAGTGCGTTATCTCGCAAACGATTTTCCTTGGCCAGTTGTACATGTAGGTTATGATTACGGTGAGCTGTTCTGTCTGCTATTATTTCTGTTTGGCTCTATTATAATTATAAGTTTATATATACATATATATATATATATATATATATATATACATATATATATAATATGCCTATATAATATATAGCAGCTAGGCCAAGTTAAATGTAAATGCAAGTACTGTATATGGGCGGCTATTTATCACATTTGTATTGTAAAATACTCATAATAATCATCACTGTTTTTCTTTTCACTAAGGACAATAACAAAATAATTTTCATTTGGAAGGCTAATACTTAAATAACCCAGGTGGCGCCAGGACTTGCCCGACGGGGGCTTAAGATGTCTCCGACGGGGGGTGGTGGCCAATGTCCCCGACGATCGAGCGAAATGGGCGTTGTTAGATTTTGGACGTCGCTCAAATTCTCATTTAATCGAGTTTAGAGTGTACACTATGTAAAAAACACATTTTCTCTCCGACAATTTTTTTTCTTCCCGACGGGGGTGGGGCTCTCCCCGAAGTGACTACCCCACTAGCACCACCCCTGAACTAGTCTCTCCTTTAAACTCCTGATATAGGCCTAAAGTTCCAGACTTGGTGAACACATTGTACAGTCTTTCTAGACATTATCCCCAATTGTATTGGCTGAAACAGACTTATTATTAAATCTTCGTTGAGACTTGGCATGCATTTGTATTTTTTTCATTAAATAAAGCAGACTGGTCTTTTAGATTTAATTAAGATTGTACTTTTGAATAATGATTTATAGCATAAAGACGTATGAGATCACAGGGATCTGCAGGTGTCTGATGATAATATTCCCGCCAAGCATGTAAATCTTCAGACGAGAAGAGACATTCTTTTGGTCTAAATGAAATAGAATGTTCTGTCCATGACAGGCACCAATGTCGGTTATAAACAGAAAAAAAGTAGACCCAATAGTTTTTGTGTTTATTAATTGGCTAATTGACTAAGCTTGAAAATTAGAGCAAGGCCTATCATTCTAATCACCACCGTTTTAATTATTTTACCAAGCATTATGACAATAAATAACATTTATTAAAGTTAAGCAATGCTGTATGTTGATATTTGATATGTTGAGACGGTTAGGCTTGGGCATTAAAACTATTTCATTGTGGCCTAGCAAAGGGACGATACATAAACCTACATTGTAAAATTATATTGCTATAGTGTGTAGAAAAAACTTTAAAAAGTACGGTAGGTCTTATGACTAAAAAGCTTTAATTCCCACAAATTTTGATGATGCTGCAAGCTTCGACAAGCACAGAATGAAAAACACAGGATGTTTAAATTTCCAATGGATAAAGAATCATTAAAGGTCCTAGTATAAATCGTACAAAAATAATTATTCCTCTATTAAATGGTACTGTATTTCATTAAACGCAATAGAGACAACTGATACACATTTCATAATGATACAAACACTATACGCACGTTATCTCGCAAACGATTTTCCTACATGTAGGTTATGATTGCCGGTAAGCTGTTCTGTCTGCTATTATTTCTGTTTGGCTCTATTGTAATTATAAGTTTTCGGTAAACATAGGACGGCTTTGGGATAAACTATTATATTATGTCAAAATATGCAAAGATGTTTAGAGGATATTTTATTAGTTTAATTCAATTTTTATTCAACTTAGGAAGTTCACAGTAGGCGCATGTGTGATTAAGACCACATGTCGCTATAAAAAAGAAGTACAGTAGACCTAAACGTATTCATGTTGTGGAAGTAAAAACATGTTTGTGTTGTATTTTAAAATTCTGTTCAAGATATTGAGAAGGAAATATGCCTACGTCCTGTTAAATATCCTAAGTCTGCTTTGAATCTAAGTGAACTTTATAGACAATGCTATCTGTTAGTTTTGCACTCTTCCTGCGATACATCGTTGGCTTCTTTTATTATTTTGAGGAGGTTTATATTGGCCAGTAGCCCAAGCCACTTAGCCAGGTAGCGAACAACCGCTAATCTTCCCATGAATAGATACCCGGGCTCAAAAGCTCTTCCAAAGACAACTACTAAACACACCCGATGAACTCAACCAGAGCATTCGGCTAAAAAGATAGGCCTCAACCCTATAAATTCTCACTTTTAGTAGACCTATGTTAAAAAGTTCTTTAACAAGCCAAATCGGATCCGAGTGGTTGGTCTCACACAGGACTTGTCTGTTCGCTGCTTAACACTGAGGCCGGGCACTCGCTCCGGCCGACGAGATTCTATGGAGCACGAAACCCCTCGACGCGCACGCAATGGATCGTTTTTCATGGTGATCCGTTCACACCGCTACGGAAAAATCAGTAGACGGCGTCGAGTCGTAGCGGGAGTGGAGTTGGATTCGTCCTACAGTACGACGCGGTGGGTTCCCGGTTCTGTTCCCAAAGAAAGTTCTCCTTGAAAGCTTGCACTTCATTCCTATGTAGTGAAACACTGATGAATCCAGGGGATCCACTAGTACAGTATATTATACCTACAATGAGTCAGGGTACACACAGTGGTTATACCCATGTTGGACCACTGAGTCACAATTTCTACAACAGGACAAATTCACCGGTGTGCTTTTTATTATAAAGAATTATCAGCAACTTTCAGTTGTTTGGATACAATTCAAAATATATTCACTTGGTAATCGAATAATTTTAAAATTTTGGCAAGAAGGTCTAGATCAAAATTGTGATAGGCCTACTCGCCTTCTCGGAACCTTATCTCTCATGCAATGTCTCTCCTTCATGACATTATTTGGCTTCAAATCAGGATTTTGACCAACGTTTTCTTGTCGAAGTACCAAAATGAATGATCAATCATTATACGTATTGTTTACATTTTAAATGTATATACAGTAGGCCTACTATGATTATTACGGTATTGATCATACGTCATATGACTAGTACTTCGGAGTCGTACGACCGCCTACCGAAGCCTTTTTTTCCGTTCTCGTGAGTTTGGCGACGCGACGTCGTCCGTTGGTTGTCGGTTGCAGTCTACAGTAAATAGATTGCGTCATAAACAAGAACCGTTTCGGAACCGTGGCGCGTGCCATTCATGGGCAAGTGTCCATTCAATACATGACATAAATGCATACAAAACAATATTAATTAAAATACTGTAATCTGTAATAATGTATTTCGGTATAAAAGACATCATCCCACCCTATTCGAACTATGTATCTTAGGGTAGGAACGTCACTCAGCTCAACTATGGTATAAAATGGTCCGCATATTGTACCATTTCCCTAATCACTATGTATCCTGGGTTAAGGACTTTCACTCCACTAAGATCCCAATGACCTTAATACCAGTACATTACATGTAGACCTACATATTTTTGTCAGATTAATCCAAAGTTAAATAACTCGTCTAGTTTGTAATTGCTTCATTCATATAAAACAAAATTAAATTAATTTTTTACGGAAATCATTTAAATTATATAAGGTGAAAATGATTTATGGTTTTCAAAAACTGGCATCCGTCATTCAAGTAATTCAATCAGAGATATTACTGTAGATGATACTTTTAGAAAAGCCAAAAAACAAGAAAATTCTGGCGTAATTCCAATCGAAAAGGTCAGTCGCAGAGAATGTTCAGGTACAACAGGAAACGTTATTTTGTAGATGAACCTAATTCTACTTGAGAATATATTCATAGGTGTGATTTGCACTTTTTTAAGATCTCTTCACCCTCCTTTGGGTCCATGGCAGATAAAACCCTTTGAAGCATTGGTATGTCTTTGGCTTCAAAGCATTCTTTAACCTCCTGTTTGGGGAAGAGAAAAAAATAGGAAGTCCACTTTCTGTCTCTTATACACATCTAGATGTGTATAAGAGACAGACATTTAGCTGTGCCCATAATATTAGGACAACTTTTTTTTTCTTTTCAAAAGAGTTGGTCATCGGATTTGTTGGGATGCAATTGATTTAAGTTTCAGAACCTGTCAGATTAGTGGGCTGACTAGAAAAATATTCGGTTTTTTTTTCAAACCAGTGAGTAATTACTCTGCCTCCGGCGTGTATATAATGACTCTGGCCAATGATGGATCCAATTCAAGTTAGAAAAATTCAACTGAATTCAGTCTTATACATGAGTCATGGGGTTAAATGGCGGGAGAAATGACTAAATGTATCCCCATGGAATAGTTGTCTGCTTTGAAATCTCGAGAGATATAACCATTATAGACAAACGTGTATCACGATAATATCTGATATAAGACTTGAATTATAATCCACACACCTTATAATTATTATAATTATTTTGACGTCATCATCAAAACCAGGGTCAAAACTTCCATTAAGGCAAATGTAGAATACTGTACAAGAATCTATTGGTTCGAAGTTTATAAAGAGTTGAACAGTTCCGCAGAGCTCCGCCCCTTGGTTATTGTTGCGAATTCCACGAGCATAAACGTAGGTAAACCACTTGCGTTTATGGGACAACACGTTTGAGTTGAGAGACAAGCGCGTATTCATGTCCCTAAAACCGGTCACTCACTGCCCCCGCCCGACGGTCGTCAGCCGACGCGATTTTATGTAGGACGCAACGCGGCGACTCCTTTTTAATGACGATCTGTTCAGACGGCCACGGAAAATCAACAGACGGCGCCGCGTCGTCAGCGCACACAGCGAACGGAGTTGGATTCGTCGTGTGACGGTCGTACGACCATCGTATACGACGCAGTGAGTACCCGGCTATAGTTTGACACTCCGCCAAAAGTTTCATTGTGTGTGCGCATTATAGATGTAAATTACCGTACGCGTTTTGCATGCATCTAAGCAAATCATGAACGGAGAATTCAGAATGTTTATATTTTAAACATTATACGGTTAAGCAGGCTTGAAATTATTGTTTTTTTACGTCAAATCTCCAGAATACCGCTTCAAGACTAGACAACGTTTTTGGAAATAATAAGCTTAGAAACTTATCATAAATAAAATATTTTAATTGCAATTTTCTTTCAGTGTGTCTGCAATGTTTCTTCCGAAAAGTAATAAATTCCGATGTAGTTTATGTGAGGACAAAGACATGTTAAGGTGTGCTGACTTGAAGTGTCCGCTCGGTTCTACTCCTGTTATGGATACATGCGGTCGCTGTAAAATATGCGGAAAGGTAAAGTGAAGTATTCAGGGCCGGATCTAGAGATGTCCGAAAAGGGTGGGGGCTTGGGGATCGAGAGACAACACTAGGGGCCATGAGAATTTTTTTTAACGCCCGGAAATAATGTAACCTCTGAGGCGTTTTGGGTGACCTTTCTTTTTTTTCTTACTTTCCAAAAAGGGGGAGGGGGTGTGCCCCCTCCAAATCCTTCCCTGTCATTACGTTCTTGCAATGAAAACGCGAGACAAACAATTGCTACAGTTATTTCATTTATGATATCAAACTATTTGTCTGAAAATATCATAGTAAAATATGTAAAAATGATACTATCGATCCCAGTTGTAATGATGATGATAATGATAATGATAACTATGATAATGTTAATGATAAATAATATTTATATTGATATGTAATGAGGCTAACAGGAACGTATGCTAATGATATGATGATGCCGATGTTGTGGAGGTGATGCTGACAATGGTGATTATGTGATGCTGATAATGGTGATTATCCTCTGATATATTGATTATGAAATATCAATTTTAGAGAGCAGCTTAGCTCAGTCTGCTAAACTGGTGGTAGCCACGGTGTGTGCGCTGAACCATGGAGATCTCTAGGTCCCCGGTTCAATTCCCATCGCTGCTCTCCTTGTGTTTTAGATTAGGGCTGAAATGCAAGTTAAGACAGCGCACCGTCTTTCGGATGAGACGTTTAAGCCGTTGGTCCCGTGTGCATTATGACACGTGTGTACGTTAAAGAACGCAGTACGCTATTCGGAAAAGAGTCTCCCGGTGTACTGCCCGATCACCATCAGAAGGACCCCACTGGAAATAAGTCTTCTTTAGACTTTCGTGGGTTATCCTTGTGTTTACACCAAATCAATCCATCCATCTATCCAACTCCTTTCTTATTTTGTTCTCACTAATTATTTTATACAATCTGTAAGATGTACTATTATTTTATTATGACGTATCATATTAATATATGACAATGAATTTGGTTGGTATGTTTGGATACTTTTTGAAACATTATTTCTATTATATATAATATTGTAGACGGAGCAAGAGGAATGTGGGGGCGTCTGCAATATGTTTGGTTTTTGTTCTGAAGGTCTTCAATGCTACACCGGTCCACTGGACACTCACAAGAAAGTCGATGTACGCATGATTGCAGAGAAGTTCACAAATGCGGGCAAATGTATGAAACCATCGGGTAAGTTGTGACAAAAGATGGGTAGGCTGGAGTGTGTGACATAGGACGGTTGGCATACAGTAGTTCATCCACCACAAAAAATGATACCAGACATTCATTCATTCATACATACATTAATCAATCAATCAATCGTTCCATTTATATGGCGCCATTCCAACAGTCGTTGCTGTGGTGCAGTTCTACAAAAGAGATTAATTTAAAAAAAAAAGATGCGTCTTGAGTAGTGACTTAACTCAAGTGAAAGTAATTGTTTAATGTTCGGAGAAAGTTTATTCCAGAGTCTTGGTGTAAATTAACACATAAATCACTGAAACTTCATAATAAAAGTATAGAATGATATTGTAATTTCATAAAATTGATAACAATTTACAAATGTACAAGGAATGGAAGTGTAACAGCTTCGTTAAAAAAGTCTAAAAATTGTGAAACGTTTTAAGATTTGATGTATACTGTATATATACGCTCCCGTTATTATAATTTTGAGAAAGGATTATTACAAAATTATTACCACAAGCTATTACAAAGTGCGACAGGTAAAAATTAAGTGGGAAATCTTCATAAACAAGACTGCACTCTCAAGTTTCCTCCTCCTTTTTACATCCTTTCATCTTTTTATTGTGGGGGACATAGTTCAGAGGACCTCCAAGTACCTGTTTGTGCCAGTCCACATACTGGTTCTTTTATTTTGGGTAATGCTCATGATTTCGTGTATTTTGAACACAAACTGAATAAATTGACATGAAAAATAAAAAACCAACATTTTGGTGAATTATTGTATGGGATTGTCTTATAATGAAAGAGCGCCCCCATGTGATTTAACGGGTAATTACTGGTTATAATACTGTAGTTTACGTCGATTGAATGTTTGGGGTTTTCACTTTTCATACACCAGATAGTAATAATAGTAGGCCTAATAGTATATAAACCTGTCTCTTATATTGTGGAAATTCGCCATGATTTGGTGCCTTGTGAAGGTGCTTAAAAATTATATATTTAATGTCATATTTGTAAAATCGTACTTAACATAGACAGAGTGCTAAACCTAGCAAAAGGTTATATACAGTATTCATAACCACTTAAAGCATAATTAGTCGCAAAATCGAATTCATCTAGGAAGTAAACTACGGTATTTTGAATAGGCCCTATTGAATAATATGTACCGTAGTTGTTGCATTAGACATTGCCATAGCATTTAAAAATTAGCTCATCAAACGTGAGTACGACTTGACGAATTGTTGCAATGAATAGCAACTGACTGTTATTCATGTTAAGATTACGCCTTGTATGCTGATAATTTATTTATATTCATATCAATAAATTATTAACTATTTCCAAAGTAAAAATATGAGTAAATGTATTACGGCTTCTCTATATTAAATTATACCAACAATACCTCCACATTCCTATACTAAACTCACAATTAGCAACAGTAGGCTGGTTTTTTATAGCAGTCTCATAATGTACGGTATATTTACATTGTCCTTACTTTTTTAATAATAATTACGATGATGATGATGATGAGGACACGCCTTATTATTATAATTATTATTATCATTATTATTTATAATATTGAAGGCGATTGTGTCAAGTTGACCAATCAATCATCTACAATAACCAAGCAGGACATCCGAAGAAAAACAAAACATATTTGATAACAAATATACGAATGTGCATATAAGTCAGGATAATATGAAATTAAATTATTGAATGACAAAATACTGAAATTACGTTCCGAAGAATATGGTAATTTCAGAATTTGTATTATTGGAAATCGATAAAATATGAAGAATAGGAAAAGAAAGTTTTTCTGTAATTCAAATGCACGTACCTTGGACACAATGATTAACAGGGCTTTGTTCAGTGCAGTCAGAAAGCAATTGAATTATAAGTCTCTTAGGCCCCTGTATCCTAAAGCAGATTCGAGGCCTAGGCACTAAAACAGCACAATACGGAGCTACATAATAGTGAATGATCTTGGCAGATTATTGCCAAGTGATATTTCCTCCATGCATGCCATGCTTTGAAAATCTGAAATGGGGTTAAGGCGGCCTACAGTTTTCAACTTAGAATGACTTTAGGCGGTCCATTTTTTGTTCTTTTTTTAGACTAGCAAACATATTAGGCTTATCATTATTTTTACTGGCACAGTGGCGTAACGGCTAGGCCTATGATCTCTCTCATATTTAAAAAAAAAACAAAAACAAAAACATTAAAACCAACAACCACGTGAAACAAGAAATTAAACCATAAGCAAAATTATTGACACATGAGTATAATACATATATTTTTGTTCATAAATATTTTTATTTATATTTAAATGGCTTAATTTTAAATACTGTGCATTATAAAAATGTGAAAAACCAATGCATCCACGTAAGGAACTTTGACAATATTTACTATAATTCCTGGTCATTGCAGAGATATGTTTAACTATTAGGCCTACCAATCATAGTGTACTGTACCTCTTGGAAAAACCCCGGGGGTGTTCATACACACAGGGAGCTTCCGATCTGTTCGAGGACGCGACGCTAGAACGGAATCACTCATGGGTGACCGTCCTTCCGGGCGTCCTACGTTCTCTACATATACGTAGATATTTGGCAAAATTGCGTCAGAATCCACGCGACGATGAGAACGTAACGTTCTCGCATGCACAGATGACTTTTAGTGACGTCATTACGTTCTACATCCTACCGTCGTCGTGCAATCGAAAGCTCCCTAATATCAGGGAGAGACCATCTTTTCGCATCCAACCAAAGTAGGTCAGATGTTGGTAGGGCCTACAACACTGGAGACTGGTATCGTCTCTGATGTAGATGGCTATCAGGCAATTTTGTGTGGTTAATGTAATACCAATCGAAGCCACTTTCGGTAGAATCGGGTGCCAGGTAGCCTTTTGCACTCCATGATGGAGATACCTGGCATGCGCTATCTGTTTAATACATTACAAATCATCTTCAGGCCTGACACAATAATCATTTTATTTGGTTCTGACGATTTTGTTTTCATTTACGCAGGTTTCTAAATTTACGAGTATGTTATAGTACACTACAAACAATGTTTTAACTCAAACCCACCAAGATTTGGTTTGTAAAACAGAATTGATAAAATAGAATAATGTTTTATTTTGTAAAACAGAATTGATAAAATAGAATAATGTAAGAAAATAGACTAATTTAGACAATAAAATAATATAAAATGTCTGATAGCACCATTTATCCAGTTAGTTGTTTGTGTTAAATGTGCACGTTCAGTGGCGTAACAGTTATGAGCTCACTCGGGCTAGCAGTTCAGTGGACGTACGTGAAAAGTCAAGAACGCCGAAGTAAATGTTTGACACGTACCCCATGGGGTTTAAAATACTTACTTAATCGATTTTATAAAGTCTACTAATATGCATATTTTTTTTTCTCCACGACGGAATGTGATTTTTCTCACCAACAAGAGGGGGGTGGGGAAGCTCTCCGCGACGGGGCCCCACTGGCGTCACCCCTGGCTTTCTCTGGGACAGCCCCAAGGATAAGTTTTGTTTCGCCACATATACGTTCCATTAAAATTGTCGCGTTCATGTGTTTATTCTTGCCTATTGAAATAACAAAGAGACAGGGGTTTTCACTTTTCATACACCAGATAGTAATAATAGTAGGCCTAATAGTATATAAACAATAAAAACTATGTTGTCAAACGAGGTATTTTTTATTTTAAAAAAATTAGAAATACCCACAAATCAAGCTAGTCATCACACAGTAATGTCAAGGGCTCAGATCTGTTTTGAAATGCGTGAGGGGACATTTCGTGAAGCCACACCTCACCCCACCATGGTTGAGGCTGAGGTGTAAAATTTGAGGAAATAATACCTCTAGATGGCCGGAAATGACACTTTTATTATTTTAGTAAAAATCATCATCACCACTATGGTTGGGGCTGAGATGCAAAAACTTGGGGAAATAGTACCTCTAATACTTTTTGACCGCAATGTAATTTCAAAGTCAAGAAGATGCCTGAAAATTGCTGGAATGAATTGTAGGCCTAGGTATTTACTTGTTACTTATTGCTTGTATAGCTCTTCTTTTCCTATCAGTTACGAAGTGCTGTAAGTTTTTCCCTGGTCATTGGGTCCACATCATAAGTGTTGCTGCCATATTATTGGCGCAGTAGCAGGCAACTTCACCAGGTACCCATTTACAGACACAAGGGATACAAAGAGGGATTGAAACCCCAACCTCAAGGTTGGGAAACCAAACCGTTCCCGCTGCGCCAAACCGCTTTTTATTTATGACCCAGATTTGATTTGAAAGAGCAAGTTTGTTAATATGATGTCTGTCAAGAAGCAATTGTTATTAAAAGTTGCATGTTCTGATAAAAGATCGTTAGGAGTTAAAGCTTCAGTTTGACTATAATGGTGATGTGATGGCGATGACTTTTACTACTGTATGTCATTTCCGGGCATCTAGACTGAGGATTTTTGACTATACACTGGTGATGTGATGATAAATTTTACTATAATATAAAAGTGTCATTTCCGGCCATCTACAGGTACATTTTCACGAAATGTCCCCTTCCCAACCTTTCAAAACAAATCTGTGCCCTTTCAAGCATCCCCTACCGCCAAACTCTGCATCCGCCCCAGCTGGAGTTACTATTTCTTCAAATTTTCACTCACGATTGTCTCCCCAACTTTCAAAACAGATCTGCGCCCTTGCGAATTATGATGCTCTCCCATTTTTAACAACGTTTAGAACGGTACGGACGTCCGGTGTCCAGTTCAAAGAAGTATCAAATGTGATTTTGGTCACGTCGGCGGTTTGCACTACGTTAGTCGTTAGTGGCGGATTCAGGAATTTGAAATAGAGGGGGCCAAGGGAGGGAGTTTCACATATGGAGTGTCTAGATGACCTCAGCCCCAACATGGTTAGGAGTGGGGGCCGTGCCGGCTGGGCGACTTGAATTCCGTCACTGGTCGTACCGGTACCTATAAATTACCATGCTTCACACAGACT